AAGATTCATACACTAAGTGAATAGAAGGTTTGCTATTAAACAATGATCAACTCGTGCAGGTCATATTTCCTAAGAAAAAAATTAAACTAACCCATGTCCTTTTATTCTGTCTCCATCAACTGATTATAATGACCACAGGCAATTATGACTGTCTTAGCTTTTTATTTTTTATTTTTTTATTTTTGATAATGAGCAAGATTGTCTTAGCTTTACTACCATAAGAACCAGAAATTCTGATGTTGGATTCCTCTTATCAGTTTACATCTTAGTATCAATCAAATTTAGCAAAGATTATGGCTTTCATGTCTCTTGATCCAAGATACATTTATAACGAGGTTTCCCAATTTACTTGTACTAAAAATTAACAATGGGAGTTCAAAGATCAAGGAAGGAGTAAAGATGCATGATGCATGTATTGAGCATATGAAGCTGCTCTTAGTAGAGCTACTGATATGAGAAAAGACATTGTAAAATGAACAAGTCCGTTACTTGGATCAATCAACTGGGAGCTAGCGCAGGTCAAGTAAAGGAGGCAAGAGAACAGAAATACCTGTTTGGAGATGGTATTGCGTAAAGACTTAGAGCCAGTACTCTTGTTCTTAGCTGGATATCTGATATCATCTTCCACCGATATTCCAAATCTTCATTAGTTCTGCAATTGCACTGCAAGAGCAAATTACTCATGCAAGCAGATACCAATTATAAATGTTCTGAAATGATCTTCTGTTTGATTGTCTATGAGGGGGAAATGGGACGAGGAGAAAAATCAAAAATCTTTATGACACTAAGAAAACCCATTGGTGAAGCACTAAAACTTTTGATTTTAAGAGAAAAATCATCTGAAACAGACAGTGATGAATCCATCTTTTACCTTATATATATTGACTCAAACGTCCTACTGAATGCAATTTCAAATTTGTATAAAAGAAAAGAAAGAAATTGAACGTACAAGATGGGTTTGGAGGGGGGGTTGTGGAGGAGAGATTCAAGTCGATCAATCTTGACCCCAACTTCAAAAAGCTTAGATCGAGCAATCTCCGTCAGGCGTAAGTTTTCTTCTCGTTGTTGTTCTGGATGTGGGTTTTTGTTCTTGACCCTTGTTTCTACATCTTCCACCAACTTTAATGCCTCCTGAGCTTCCCTCATCCAAGCATCCACCATTAAAGATTGCTTATGCATCTCTCTCCAACAACAGAAGACACTCTTCCCCGGAACAAGAACAGAGTCTATTGAAAATACTGTATGTGTAATCGACACAAGTTTTGCATCTAACCTAAAACCAATTGGAAATAGGTGGAGTAACCTCCTTGTATTTAACCCATAAACTTCTTATTTTTATACTTGATGTGGGATTTTTCTACTTAACACGCCCCTCATGTGCAGGTCTGCTATGAATGTCGGGTCCTGTCATGTGGGTTACACCTCTTTTAAATACAGACCCAGTAATAACTTCGGGTCCTGTTAGGTGGGCTAACACGGGCTTCGCAGGACCTGGGCTCTGATACCATATTGAAAATTTTGCATGTGGGCTCAACACAAGGCTTGCATCCAACCTAAAACCAATTGGCAATAGGTGGAGTAGTCCTCTTTGTATTTAACCCATAAACTTCTTATTTTTATATTTGATGTGAAATTTTTCCACTTAACAAAGTCCACATCTGTGTTCAGAAAGAAAACAGCTACCTTTGAAGCATCTTTATATGATTTTTTTCTCTCTCCATTGCCCAATCGCTTCCCTGTCCGTTAATTTTATCGTAACAAACCAAAATTTGTTACTACTT